GGGGGGGAGTGGGGGCTGGTGGGTTAGAGCAGGGGGGCTGGGAGCCAGGACACCTGGGTCCTCCCCCGGCTCTGGGGGGGAGTGGGGGCTGGTGGGTTAGAGCAGGGGGGCTGGGAGCCAGGACACCTGGGTCCTCCCCCGGCTCTGGGGGGGAGTGGGGGCTGGTGGGTTAGAGCAGGGGGGCTGGGAGCCAGGACACCTGGGTTCTCTCCCCGGCTCTGGGGGGGAGTGGGGGCTGGGGGTTAGAGCGGGGCGGCGGGAGCGTTGCTGTGTGGGAAGAGGTTTGGCAGCAGAGCAGGGGTAGGGACGAGGAGCGCAGATTGCTGCGGGGTGGGGCTCTCCGAAGAAAACACCCCCTCCACCACGGCCTACCTCAGCCCCCCAACTCCCCCCAAAGTCTGGCTTCCCCTTTGTGTCCCAGGTCAGCTCCACCCCCAGGGAGGTGAGTCACCCCCAGGATATCGAGTACCTCAGCTGCCCTGCCCCCCACACAAAAACCCCAGGCTTGAAACTGGCCCTGAGATGCAGCCACCTCTGGTGCGGGGCGGGGCGGCTGGTTACCCGGGGACCCCTCGCCCGGCGCTGTATTCAGCCTCAGAGGAACAGAACCACTCCCCGCCCCACACATCTCCTGCCACGGGAGGCTCCCATGATTCACTGCACGCTGGTGGAGGCGGGGAATGGCAGGAAGTGCCTGAAAACAGAACCTGGCCGCGACCGCACAGTTCCCCTGGCGCCAGGAAAGTACCTGGGGATTTCGCAACCTCAAGGGGGTATTTTACACTCCCTGCCCCACAGCGCCCCCTAGTGCCACCCTGGGGCCAGCGCCCCCTGCTGAGCCCCCCGCCCCGCTCCCTGCCCCACAGCGCCCCCTAGTGCTGCCCTGGGGCCAGCCCCACCTGCCAGGGGAGAGCGCCCCCTGCTGAGACCCTGCCCCGCTCCCTGCCCCACAGCGCTGCCTAGTGCCACCCTGGGGCCAGCCCCACCTGCCAGGGGAGAGCACCCCCTGCTGACCCCCCCCCCCCCCGCTCCCTACCCCAGAGCACCCCCTAGCTAAGAGGCCATCTGTCAAACCCACAGCACACTGTAGGTGCCCCCGTCTCCCCCAGAATGGGAGGCTGGGAGCCAGGACACCTGGGTTCCATCCTGGCGCAGGTGGGGCTGATGGTATCCTCAGCTGAGCCTTGAACCCAGCTTCACCCACCATGAGAGGCCCCACCCAGCCCCCCTCTGAAGGACGCCCTCAAACCCTGTCACTCCCCTACGGGCAGAGAACTCCAGCCATCCCAGGCCTCCGGCAGCTGGGGAAACTGAGGCACAGAGGCCAAGCGGCAGAGACACAGGCCCTGCCACGTGTGAACCAGCTGGGCACTGGCCCCAGACAGACTTGGGCTTCTGGCGGTGGCTTCCCCAGCACTCACATGCCTTCCCATCACCACTCGCTTGACCCCACGCCCCCCCACAGCCGGGGAGAGAACCCAGGAGTACTGGCTCCCGGCCCGCCCTGCTCTAACCCACCAGCCCCCACTCCCCTCCCAGAGCCGGCGAGAGAACCCAGGAGTCCTAGCTCCCAGGCCCCCCCTGCTCTAACCACTAGCTCCCACTCCCCTCCCAGAGCCGGGGCCAGATTCCTTCTGTCTCCTTGCGCAAGACTCCAGCTGTTGAACATCTGGAGCGGGGTGGGGGGGCTGTGAACCCCCCCGGCAGTAAGAACTCTTCGAACACAGCACCAGTTCTGGCCTTGCTCAGCGGCTATAATTTCTCTCCCGGGTTTTCCTTCCCCCGCAGAGTCCGAGGAAAGAAACCAACAGAGAAGGGTCTTCCGAGCCCCAAGACCTCCCCCGGGCCAAAAAAAAATCAAGCGGCTCGAGCCCGGGGAGGAGTGGAGGGAAGAACAGAACGAAAAAGGAAACGAAAAGAAAAAACGAGGTCTTTGTACAAGGCCGAGGGGGGGAGGGGTCTTGTAAAACCAGACTCCCCCAGCCTGATCGGACACGTCCATCCGCGCGCCGTAAAGTTGCACACCCCCTTTCTTTGTCCAGCTGCCGGATAAGCTCCGCCCTCCGAGTCAGTCCCCACCCATTCTTGGCACAGGGGGGGAAGTCATTTGTTGGTGGGGAATTGGGGGGCGCACCCCCCCCCGCTCTTCTCCAGAGTTCAGAAAACGGTGGCGGAGTCCACGTTGTGGTGGTGTTAGAGGTGGGATCCGGAGGAGGTCAGGGGCCCCCGCCCGAAGAAAGGAGGTGCTGACGTCACCAGAGGCGGTGCTGATGGAGGTTCCGGCTCAGCACCGACCGCACATCTGCTGTGAACCTGGAGAAGGAAAAGGAAGCCTTAGGAGAGAACCCAGGAGTCCTGGCTCCCAGCCCCTCCCCCCCATTCTAATTAACCAGACCCCTTTGAGCTAGTGACCCCTAGGTACTGGCCCAGAGCACAGGGACTGTGCAGAGTTTCAAAGGATCCCCCTCGCTGGATCGCCACCTAATAATTCACCTGTGGAACTCCTCGCCACAGGATGTTGTGACCACCAAAAATAGAACGGGGCGAGAAAAAAACGTTCCTGGAGGGTGGGTTCGTGAACGGCTAGTAACCCAGGCAGGTGGAGACACGATCCCAGGAAGGACGGCCCCCGGCAGGGAGGCGCCGCAAGGATTCAGGGCTCGGCTCCACACCGGAGCATGCTGCTCATTCAGCCTGGGCTCTCCGTCACGGGTCGCAGGTCTGTTGGATACGGAAGCATCAGGGTCCAACCCTTCTGCCTGCGACCGCCTCCAGCCTGCGATATGGCCACCAATGGCACCAGCTCAGAGCAGTGCGGGGTGTTAAGCGGAGCCAGGGAGAGGACCCAAGAGTCCTGGCTCCCAGCCCCCTCTGCTCTAACCCACCAGCCCCCACTCCCCTCCCGGTTCTGGGGCGAGAACCCAGGCATCCTGCCTCCCAGCCCCCCTACTCTGACCCACCAGCCCCCACTCCCCTCACAGAGCTGGGGAGAGAACCCAGGAGTCCCGGCTCCCAGCCCCCCCTGCTCCAACCACCAGCCCCCACTCCCCTCCCGGCCCCGGGGAGAACCCAGGCGTCCTGGCCCCGATACCTCAGGGCATCCAGCATGGGCAGCAGGTTGAGCAGGGCGGTGTCGCTGGGGTCGCTGAACCACGACTTGATGGGGATGGCGTTGTCTAGGAGAGAGGGACACACCCCAGTGAGGACAGACCGACGCCTTTTAAAGGGGCGGCGCTGCCCAACTGGGGAAGGGGAGGTGCACGTTTCCTCCCCCCCCGCAGCCCAGGTCAGTACCACATACTGCCCCCCGTACCCCAGCAGACCCCTCGGGGGGGGGGGTTCCGTGGCTCATGATCTCCCCCATCCGTTTGGGGGGAGCCACTTCTCTTCAGTCAGGACATTAGAGCAACCAGAAGGGGGGCTGGTGGTTTGCACGGGGGGGGCTGGGAGGCAGGACACCTGGGTTCTCTCCCCAGCTCTGGGAGGGGAGTGGGGGCCGGCGGGCAGCGCGGGGGGCCGGCAGGCTGGCATGGGGGGCAGCACGGGGGGC